TTCTATCAATCAGTGTATTTCTTCTTCGATTGCGTAAAGAAAACTATTTAAAAGAAAAGTTATTTCGTTGTATAGTGTGGTAATAAGGGGTTTATGAGCAAAGATAAGTTTCTTTGCTAAATTTTAAATTTGTATTTAAGTTAAATAACTAATTTGTTTCTTAAATTCTTCTTTGAAGCTTTTAAACGTCGACTCCTATTCATTTCGTCATACGCAAACTCATCCTGGATGGCTGAAGCAACCATTTTAAATTTTGCATGGTGATGAAGAGCATACATGAGAATGCCAACATCTATATGGCATTGATACAAAACCTCAAGGTATCCACCCCACAGGGTCTTAAAGTGTTAATTTAATCCTTATGGAAGCAGTATTTGACACACAAACAAGGAATATCATCAGTTATTGACTTAACAGTAGTTCAACAGGTAACAGTTGATAGACTTATTGTAACTGTTAATCACGTATATCAGCATAGAAACCTAAACATGTATATGGATCACAAACATAATCAAAATGACGTCACTGGCTCAAACCTTACACTAATAACTTACTTGTGGGTTAGCCGTCTCTTGACAGTACATTTTAAATAATAATACTGTACAAACTGTTCACTATCGGGTCAGTGGTGTCATAGGTTTATGTTCATCATCAATACCGTTTCTGTTCTAATATCCGGGCTGAATAGTCTTGTCGTGTATTATTCTAGTGCGTGCTTGGTGTCAGTTTTAATATGATTTATTATTTATCACCTACAAAGTAAGTTAATTACTTACGTATTTGTAGCACTACGCGTATTTGTAGCACTACGCGCATTTGTAGCACTACGCGTATTTGTAGCAGTGCTCAATTAGTTTTATCTTACAAACTAAAAATGTTTAATGCTGTATTGAAAAGTTCAAGCTATTTTCCATAACAACACTGCCCGAGATTTACTAGGAAAAGGCGTATTTGAGTTTTTTTTTTAAGGAGCATATCAGAGATGAATTTCTTTGAATAAAAGTCATAATGTTAATAGCCTACTAATCACGTAGATTTCTATAGAACATAACTACGTGTTTTCATATAAACAATATTATATAACTCTAAATAATAGTTGACATGGTGTGTTTGAAATTCCATAAGCTTACTTTGTATACAGCTTATTTGATTGTTTCATTGTAGCCCAAATATTAGTGATGAATTGGTTTGAATTAAAATTCATTGTGTAGCCCCTGAAATGTTGAATTTAAGGTACATACCTTCACGTCCACAGTTCATAAATGAATGGTCAAACCCACTACATGTTTCACCTATACATAGGCATTGTCAAGTGGTCCTTCAAGAACGTTTCGTCCATTGTAGACTCGTCAAAAAGCATAACAAAAGCAATATAAGAAAAAAATAATAATAAAAATAATAAATAATAATAAATAAATAATAAGTATAATAAGTATAATAAGTAATAATAAATAAATAAATAAATAATAAGTAATAATAAATAATAAAAATAATAAAATAATAAAAATAAAAATAAATAAATAAATAAATAAACAAAAGCTGGTTACCAATGACATCATTTTATGCAAGGCAGATAAGGGTAACACCACCGTGATAATGCGTAAAAGTGATTATTCAAACAAAGTCCTGAGTTTTTCAATAAAAATAATATTGTACATATAAACAAAGACCCTACTAAAACCTATCAGAGGAGAATTAAGAAAATAATTAACGACTCCAAAACAATTTTTTCTCAGGATGAAATAAAAGGTGATGAACCCCTCAGCTCCAGTTTTTAGGGGCCTTCCTAAGGTACATAAGGAAGGCACACCTATCAGACCATTAGTTGATTTTACTCCAGCACCAACATATAAAGTAGCAAAAAAACTAGAAAAACTACTACAAGATAACATAACTTTAACCAACAACTACAGCCTGAAAAATTCGTATGAGTTCATAAATAAAAACAAAGCCATAACCATTCAAATGCACCACACGCTCGCATCGTTCGATGTTGTGAACCTATATACCAATGTTCCCATTGATAAAGTACTGGAGATAGTAAAACTACATCTAACCAATAGCCCAACAATGTTATCGGAATCTTCTGATGAAATAATGGTGCTGCTAACGGAGATCTTAAGACAAAACTATTTTACTTTCAATGGCAATTTTTACTCCCAACCTGATGGTCTTGCGATGGGTTCCCCGTTATCTGGAATACTATCTGATATTTATCTAAATCACATTGAAAAAAACTTCATTTTCTCCGAATCTAATAAATACAGAAACAGGATCACCCTTTACAACCGTTATGTGGATGACACCATTATGTTGTTTAATGGCAATACTCGACAACTGAACTTATTATTGAACTACCTAAACAACATCGCACCCAAACTACAGTTTACGGTAGAAACAGAAGTCAATCAATAATAAGATCAATTTTCTAGATATGACTATTGAGAAGGATAATAGTAAACTAAACTTCAGTATTTATAGAAAACCCACGACTTCAAGCCAAACAATACACGCCACTTCATACCATCCTATTTCTCAAAAACTTGCCGCCTACAATAGCCTAGTCTACAGGCTACTCAAATTTCCGCTTTCACCTGACAACTACAACAAAGAACTGAACATAATTAAACATATTGCTATCTCCAATGGATACAAACCAAGCATCATAGATAAAATAGTAACGAAATTAAAGAACAAACCAAATGAACCCGTATCAGATGAACCCGAGAAGAAATACATTTGTATAGAATACAGCCACATAGCTCACAATGAGCTCAACAAAGTTTTAAAGAATCATGGGCTTCAATTAAACTTCAGGACCACAAATAAGACTATAAATCTCTGTCAAATAAAGTTACCGATGAAAATAAGCTTGAAAAGTCTGGGGTCTACAAACTAAAATGCATGGATTGTCCTGATTTTTATATTGGACAAACTGGCAGGACCTTCACCCAACGGCACAAAGAACATCGCCCCGCCCCAGAGCAGACAAACAAAAATCCACTTTTGCCCAACATTTATTGGATAACAATCACACCGTAGATGTAATTGACAATAGCCTGAAAATCCTTCACATTTGTAACAAAGGTAACAAATTGGACTCTCTAGAACAGTTCGAAATATATAAAAGTTTCCAAGACATCCGTAATAAAAACCATATTTTAAATGACCAGCTAAACTTCAAATCTCATTCAATTTTTAACGCCATAATAGCTCACAACAATAGACAGGAACAGTTTGACCTTTGCAGTATGACTGATAATGGAGAAGGGGTCGGGGTTACATCATTCCAGCCAGTCTGCTTCCGTACCGCGACCGGTAAATAGTAGGCCTAAGTGTTGAATGTTTCGTACAATGTATCGTGTTTTGTGTATTTATTTAAATGTTTTTTGACGAGTCTACAATGGACGAAACGTTCTTGAAGGACCACTTGACAATGCCTATGACAATGGCATTGACAATGGCAAAACATGTAGTGGGTTTGACCATTCATTTATGAACTGTGGACGTGAATTGGTTTGAATCAAAGCTCTATGTAGCACCACGTTTGATCTCTAGGTGAAATATTTTCAACCCAGGTTTTCCAAAGTAACGACTGATGAGAATTAACATGTCTTGGTTCGGACACATAAACAAGTCTATAATCAAAGTTTAATATCACAGTTTCAGTTCGAAATGTTCATATACGTTAATATTAACTTTCCCATCAATGAACAGTACATTTTAATTGGTTTAGGGAATATTTTCATCTAATTGGTTAGTTTGTTAGTTTCCTAAAAGCTCAATGGTGTCAGACATAAGGGAGATAAACCAATTTATCTTCTATGGACAACCAATCTTACAAATTTTTTTACCATCATTTGCTACTTTATAAAAAATAACAATACTCTTCATTCATGGTTGAGTATATGAGTAACAAATGTATATTGTTGCTATAGTGACATATTAGGTCAAAGTCACATACTAGGTCGTTTTGGATTTTTGTTACAGGTCAAAACATTACTCAAAAGTAGGTAAATGTTTTTATTTTATTTCGAAATTTCAACACTTTTTATAGTGATGGTCGGGCTAACTGTTATTGTTCCTAGTTTACAAATGAAACATCCCCTCTGCAGCAAACTTGCTGACGAAGCGAATCACCATTTGTCAAATTAGATTTCTATTAAAATATTTCTTTAAACATGTCATATTTATTCCCTTTTCAATAGCGTAAGGTGTAATGAATGGTTGGATTTTACAGGGCTACAGGGTGCAAGCTGATCTAGTGGTAAAGCGCTGGACTTCAGTCCCTGAGCCCGAGAGCTCAAATCCCGTCAAACCACCAATGGATTTTGATCTAAGTGATGATGCTGCAACTCCTAAATAATCCCAGGCTACTGCCTAGAGAAAACACAAAAAACTGCTACAGGGAAGATGGTAAGGTTTATTTCTAGTAAAATTTTGATTGCATAGAAATAAATAAATACATTTATCACATTAGATGGAAATGTTTTTATAAAAAAGCAAACTACAAAGTGTTTACTTATTCTTCATAGGAATGACAGTGATATTTAACAGTGGAAGTTAATTAAATTTTCTCAGTAACAATTTAGCGTACAATAAATCTTCAACAGACTAAATAATCTCTTTTCAAGCTCTACACTATACAAAGGATCAAATAAAATTGGGCTATTTCGTGTTTTGATTATAACAATTAAAAAATATATGCTAATTTTAACATTTATAATTCATAACACGCCGTTTCTATATTCCGATCTTGCTTATTTACAAATTCATAAAGATTAATCCAGCCCAAACATCCATGCAAATTTTCATCAAACTACAATTAGTTGAACAATCGCGTTCACGTACACAAACCATCACTTTAATACATTTAAACTTTGGAACTAATTATCTAGGTATAAAATAACCAATCGCACTAATCAGAATATTTAATTACAGCTAACGGAAAAGGGGAAATATTTACAACATTTGCATGAACAAATAAATAACGTGACACATTTCTGGAGTCATTATCTCCTGATCCCCTGGAGTTGGTCGGCTCTGGAGGAGGCCGCGGCGGTGACGGGGACGTAGCCAACATAGGCTAGTTGCTGGGCATCCTCCATACTGCGCTTGTAGTGGCCCGAGCCGTGATGTGGCACTGTCACCACCTGCAAATAAAAGGAGATAAAAATAAATAGTTTTGAATTTTGCTCAGTTAAAAAAAATCTAAATAAGCCAAAATATTACGATATATGAGTATCTGCTTATTCAGAGAGCTTTCTTTGTAGTCCTAATATTTTTGTTAGATTATGGGTTCAAATCAAATTTTTCCCGCGTCTGAAAAACACTTTTGTTGTTGTAGCCTAAGTGCGTAAACATGAGCAAATGACAAATGAGCTGGGTTAATCTATCGAAAAATCTTCATTCTTTCTACACAAGCGTGTATTCATATTCATATACGATATTCAGCTCATTTTTTTAGAGAATTCACAGAATTTAGTGCATTAGAACTATTAATAATTTATCGCCTATACTCAAAAATAAGATAGAAAAAAGGAACAGGAACCGTTAGAAAACAGAGAGTTATTTTTTATTTCCTCGTTAATATTATGAATGTCCTTTAATTTATTTTTTATGGTGTCCCATAAATCAAATCACTCTTAATTATCATATAAGCAAATTCAGTGCATTCATAATGTCTAGGCAGTGCAAAATGTAGTGCTAATTGTCAACAATAAATACCTAGTACTAGCAGAGTAACCGTCCTTTGCATGGGGTTGGCGTATAGGTTTAAAATGCTTATTGTAGTTCTACTCGTGCTTTGCGTTTGCAATGGGATAGACACGTACGTTTAAAGAAAATTTGTTTTACTATAATTTACTGTAGGATCAAATCCATCTAACATAGCCATAATGTTTTACCACTGCACCTAAAGAATAGTAAAAGTAAAGTTCTCACAGCTTTTTGTTGCTGCTTGGTTCAAATTAGCTGTTGCCATAAATTCAAAAAGAATTACTAGTGCAGCACCTTGTTGGTAAACCTTATAACCTTTTAATGCTATTCAATTCATACAACCAAATTGTGTAGTTGAAACAGCTGACAAAATTCTTTAATTCCTTATGTGAGTACACGTAAGGTTAACATGGGAAACTCTAGAGCCACTGGGGCAGAACCCGAAAGGATTTTCGAGATAAGAATATCTTTACATGGTTATCGGGAATGTGAGCTATCGCCATACCAAATTTAAACCAATCCGACCAGTAGTTAATGAGTGATTGAACTTCAAACAAACATGCAAACAAATAAACACACAAAGTTCAACATTCATAATATCAGTATGACACATAATAAATGGTAAAATAAATTATAGACAAACAAAAGGTCTTACAAATAATAGGCTTATTAAACGTTAGGTTTATGGAGAGTTATCAGAGATTTTAGCAAAGAGACAAGTTTCGTCACAGATAATATTTAAAACATGAACAATTGGGAAATAATATTAAACTTCAAAATTCAAAGGCACATATTTGCAGTTTCTTGAACGTATTATTCTTAGCAGTGGTCTGGTCTACTCTGTATTTTGTGCTTCAAGTCACAACTACATGTACCTGATATGACTCGCCACCGCCGCTGCCCACCAGTCGTCTCAGCCCAATGATGGCAGCCAGTGCCAGGGCCAGCTTGCTGACTATGAGAGCCTTGCCGGCCAGGAGTGCCAGCGCGCCGAATGCCAGCGGTATCAGCGTGCCTCCTAGCAGCAGCGGCACCATCAGCAGTGAGCTGAACCTCCTGCGTCGTACTAGACAGGACAGTAGACATTTGTAGACAAGAGTATTAAATCAAACATAGGTATAGCCAATGATGGCAGCCAGTGCCAGGGCCAGCTTGCTGACTATGAGAGCCTTGCCGGCCAGGAGTGCCAGCGCGCCGAATGCCAGCGGTATCAGCGTGCCTCCTAGCAGCAGCGGCACCATCAGCAGTGAGCTGAACCTCCTGCGTCGTCCTGGATAGTACAAAATAAACTTGTAAACGAACAATGACGAGAGTATTAATCAAAATTAGGTATAGACAATGACTTGCCTCCATTACGGTGTTCCGCAACAAAAAAAGAACGCTGAAGAGAATAATTATTGTGTTATCATTATGTAATTATAATTATACCCTGATATGTCCATTATTTTGATGAATCACCAGCAAAATGATTTTCACGTTCATATCAACTTGGCAATTTTAATATAAGTGTATTCACAAGAATAACATAGAAATTTTGTAATCCTTTGAGCAGAGTGCTAGTAGTATTAAAATAAAATATTCTAGTAATAAGGATACAGGTTTTAATTATGGGGAAAATCAGCTCATATGGTAAAGTGGTTTCCACGTGATCCATGTGACATACTCAAATGTTTCACGTTTATAATATTAGTTAATTCCAACCATTCATTCCAAGTCATTGACGTGATCAGTAATGAGCTAAAAATAAATACCCCCGCCGCAGCAAACCTGCAGACTAAGCGAATTTCCATTTGACTGATTGGATTTACACTGAAATGTCTACTTACAAATATAACATTTATTCTTGATTTAAATAGAATTAGTTTAACAAGTACTTATGTTTTCTGCATCAGGGAGGGTAAAACTGCTTTTTTTGTAAAATGTGAATAGTTAGTAAGAAATAAAAAAATTTTCCAAATTTAATCAAAATATGTTCACAAACAAGCAAACTACAACAGTTTACTTATTCTCCATAAGAATAACATGGGAATTTTAAATTTACAATTTTTTGGAATTTTCTCCGTAACCATTAGGCGCATAATAACGCTTCAACATACTAAATTACTTGTTTTTTTAAGCTCTACAAAATGGTTTGGAAAGAAATTGCTAAATTTTATGTTTTTTGGGTCAAAAATGGGAAAAACCTATTTTTACCCCATAAAACCCCCCGTAAACCCCCGTTCCCATGGTCCGATCATGCTGGATCGCGAACTCGTTCGAATAAACGTACGTTTACACGTTTGTATCAAATTTCATCAAAATCGGATAATTTTTGCTCGAGTTATCGTGCTGACGGACACATATATATAGGTATATAAATATATATATATATATATATATATATATATATGAATTTGAACGGATGGTGTTTTTGGCCTCTAGGGACCTCAAAACGAAAAAAAAATCGGTCCCGCGTCCAGGACTTACCATGAGTACTACGGTAATAGCTTATTCCCTATATGGGAAATTCGCTAAAACAGGGTACTCTGTTTCCCAGTTTTTATTTTGTGCGAAAACAATACAAACTCAATACATTTTCTTACTCATATTTATTAAAACATAAGTCGTTTTAATATTACAGTTTGCACTTAAAAATAAAACCGCCCTATTAGCACAATATCACAAAAGATTGATTAAATAAAAACATAAATATTACTGTAAACAATCCTACTTTGAAAGTTCTCAATGTGTAACTCAGCTTTCTGTTACTGTTTAGTTTAAAGTTTTCATCATTAATTCATATTTAAACCAAAATAATAGTAGAGCTGCACTCTTGAAACTTGTAACATTTTAGTAATAAGGTATACATGGGAAACTCTAGAGCCACTGGGGTGGAATCCAAAGGAATTTCAAATTTCAGCCCAATAGTTAATGTGTGATTGAACCGACTGGATACTTATTAGCCTATATATATATATATATATATATAATTTGTATGATTACTATGGGTGATAAAAAATCGCTCATATATACTAAGACCTACAATGGATGTTTACCTAGTGATAACATCTGAAACCTAAAAACGGCACAATTCATTTAAGGCGGTAAAATCTGTGGATATTGTACAAATACGTTCGTGTTTTTCTCTGCTATGTGCAATGATACTCTAAATATAGTTATGATATAGTGAAATTATGCTTTTGTTAAACCCTCACACTTTTATTATTATTTGATTTAGTTGGTTTAATGTATTATCATTGTCTATAGTCTATCGTGCTGTATTTCACAATAGATACTTAAATTACGTAGATAAATTTTCGCCTAGATTCATGTAAATAACGTTCGATAAAAACACCGGAGTTTTTCAGTTGGCTCATGTAACACTCAATACTTCATATTATTAAACTGTACCCTGCTGAGAAAACAGGCATCTGTGGTTCTGAATTTAAGATTCTGAGGTATCATTGGATATACTCGAGATCATGGGCTTCGTTTTTTTTCATGTTAATGGTACGTTCATGCATGTCAATATCCATATTTGGAGAAGCTATATGGTACAATCAGGCCCTGCGGTTAAACTATGAATTAGTTCATTTAACGTCTACATAAATTAATAAAGAATATTTTGGGTTCAAAATAAAAATACATGTACGCTTTCCAAACGGGCAGTTGTAATCACAAGATCATATTTAGTCAGTTAAGTTCTAGTTGTATTACCATACAAATAGATTAGCATGGTTCGAAATGGCTCCAAACATGGTTGTGTGCAAACAATAATGCGAAAATATATTAATTATTAATTTTTCATATTGGGTTTTAACAACATATTGTTAAATTTCTAATAGCAGCAAAATAAGTTAATAAGTAGTGTGAATATTATTTAAACAATTATTATATAGTGGGATAAAGGATACCGTTTGTATGTAAAAAGATTTTAAGTGAGACATTGCAACTACCTAATACATATTTGTGTTATTTTAATGATTTTGTTTTAAACGAAAAATACTGTACCGATTTAAATATTTTACTTTTTCAACCTTGGAAAAATACTTCATAGATAGCAAATCTGCATTTGAAGGTTTATTAGGAACTTTAGCATCAAGTAAAAATAAACCGAAATATAATTTTTACATTTTAACAGTTGTCAACTATTGCACGAGAAAGTATTTAATTGATTTTTAATGAATATAGTATATATTTGCAGAAGCGTTTACTTTTACTAAGTTGTTGAACATGTTTAATTTTTCTACACTTATAGCGATTCATTTCCCTCTCGTACATATGTTTCCCGAAAACACTAGTCGAAATAGATCCACTTTCATCGAAGCATTGTTTCACCAAAGTTTAAAAACAATCAATCAGAAACTCATCGTACGTTCATTAATTTAACGTACGGTAGCGAAACTCGTAGATACAAGATTTTTGGCCCAAACTTAATTTTTGCTACGAAGAAATACTTATGCATCAATATTAAGGATTATGTGATAAAATATTATACATAATCTAGTAAAACTGACATTGTTCCTGAATTCAGTAAACTCAACTGGTTTAAACTACTTAGTTTTGGAAGAAATTCTAATGTTTAGGATATTATAATTGACATTGGCATTTTCTTCCCTTTGGGATTTTTGTTTATCCCTTTCCCCCTTTTACCCCGTTCTGCTTCTTACGTAGCGGCGATGTACTCACAAAGTCTTAGGAACACCCCAAACCATTTAACACTATATATTGAGCAGCTTTATCCGTGTATACGCCTACGTTAACTATAGACTATGTGAAGGCCTATGAGACATCGGTTTCATGAGTCGCCTAAAATTATATAAAACTAATTCTGTTAAAGATATTTTATTTTAAAATACTAAGAATACATACTTAATTTTTACCTTTACATTTTGTGTGGGGGCCATCATGTATTTTTGGATTTAATTATCATGTAAGTTACCAATAATATTCTTTTAAATTTTTATTTCTCTTAATTTTTAGAACAAATTGAAACGTTGCTGCCTTGTCATGGATCTCCGTATAAATTAGATAAGGGTTTATGCATGTATTTGACTTATTGCTGAAACACTTATATTGAAATAACGAAAACCGTTTTCATTGAAGGAAATTTAGGATCACCTTAGTCTTCCTCACAGCTGAACCACAATGTCATGAAATTTACAGTATGACTGTATTTAACTGTTTCTTAAACTGTCGATCTTACCTTCCCCAAGACTTCTGCCACTAGCTGAGTTCTCGAATAGCTTGAACTCAAGAGTATGAGTGGTGAAGAAGTAGATGATTTTGTCGAGGATCATTTGATTCAAGATAGAATCAGGATCTTCAAGACTCCTAGCCTCCAGAAGGACGGTGTCCAGATCCTTCTCAGTCACAGGTTCAGCAGGTGCCACGTTCGGATCCTTCACAAACCTGACTCCGTCCATCAGACTCAGGTGTTTGGTAGACTTGGCCGCGCGGTCCAGCGCCACAACCACCTTCTTCTTGAGACAAGGCGAGAACTGTTGTAGCCGACACTCCTCGTATAGTTTGTAAGCGAACCTAACGTCCGTCAGATACCCAGCGGCCCGGACATCGTTCACTGCTGTAGGGACAGCCCCGGTAGTCCTCGCTCGGACCGTTACCACCATCACGAGCCCGAGGACCAGGACCGACATCTGTCGCGGACTCATGGTTGGATGGACGCGCAGGAAGTTCTGCATCGCTTTTATGGATCAAACCCCCTCTCGCCGTTATCACATGCTCATCCCGTCAAGGAAAATATGGATCATCGAATTAGCGATGTGTCATGCTTCCTCCCACCTCCCACCGGCTGTCGCTCTCGTTGGTACGACAACAATGGGATTAACACTTGTCCAGTAGCCCGTTAAACCTCCCACTCCACGCTCAGCTCTGCTCCAGTATCTCTCGACACTTCAGCTTCCTCGTGTACCTTAGTATTTATGTTTTGAAGTTTTTAAATTACCAAATAGCCTTGTTGTACGTAGTCTTCAGTCATACGAATGATTATTTTAAACTATGTAAGGCACTTAATAGAGGAGAAACGTTTACTTTTAAAAATATGACTTTGTGAACTTAGGAATTATACCTTCTTCAGAGACGTTCTTTTTCACAGACAATTGAAATGGCTTACTTTTTTTAAAATTTTCAAGGTGATTGGATTTAACTGTTACAGCCAAATGACCTAATTGGGTAGGGTAGTACAAGTATTTTTAAAGGGTTTACGTGCAAATTGTTTATACTCTTGATCTCTTAGATTTTAAAAAGTCTTCCTCGATATTGAGTTATACAGGGTGGGGCAGCATAACTTCCTTTTTTCAAATCTTAATCAAAAGCATTGTATGAGTCAGACAAACTTTATTTGGTTTTTACAATGTTAGTACATTCCTAAAGTTTTGTTTTAGCGAATTTCCCATATAGGGAATAAGCTATTACCGTAGTACTCATGGTAAGACCTGGACGCTGGACCGATTTTTTTTCGTTTTGAGGTCCCTAGAGGCCAAAAACACCATCTGTTCAAATTCATATATATATATATATATATATATTTATATATTTATATATATATATGTGTGTCCGTTAGCACGATAACTCGAGCAAAAATGATCCGATTTTGATGAAATTTGGTACAAACGTGTAAACCTACGTTTATTCGAACGAGTTCGCAATCCAGCATGATCGGACCATGGGAACGGGGGTTTACGGGGGGTTTTATGGGGTAAAAATAGGGTTTTCCTATTTTTTACCCAAAAAACATAAAATTTAGCAATTTCTTTTCAAACTATTTTGTAGAGCTTAAAAAAACAAATAATTTAGTATATTGAAGCGTTATTATGCGCCTAATGGTTACGGAGAAAATTCCAAAAAATTGTAAATTTAAAATTCCAATGTTATTCTTATGGAGAATAAGTAAACTGTTGTAGTTTGCTTGTTTATGAACATATTTTGATCAAATTTGAAAAATATTTTTATTTCTTACTAACTATTAACATTTTACAAAAAAAGAACAGTTTTACCCTCCCTGATGCAGCAAACCTAAGTACTTGTTAAACTAATTCTATTTAAATAGGGAATAAATGTTATATTTTTAAGTAGACATTTCAGTGTAAATCCAATCAGTCAAATGGAAATTCGCTTAGTCTGCAGGTTTGCTGCGGCGGGGGTATTACATAGTTTTGAAGAGTAAATCATGCAGGTGACGTCCTCCATTATACTAGATACATTGACTATACCGATTTTTGACGATTTCTGGTGTTTCACAATATCCCTTCAAGCATAGCAGGCGTTATGTTGGCAATTACTTCCTCGATCTTGTTTTTGAAGGGTCCTTGGACGGTTTACATAAACGCGGTACTTCAAAAACCCCAATAGAAAAAAATCGCAAGGGGAAAAATCGGGAGATGGAAACGGCCATTGCAAATAGCACCTGATTGAAATAAGGCGTTTTGACAGTTCCTGCACAATCGCCATCTTGTATGGATGGAAATGTAGGTCATCATGGAGATTTCTCGTTACAGAACGATAGGAAAGTCCAAGTGCAGACTCATGTTTGAGCGCACAAGATAAAACCGCGCTTCTGTTTGAGCGCGTGTCTTGGTGATCGCAACTTTGAAGCTCTCACTGCCTCAATGATCTTAGGTGATGCAATGGGCCATGGGAATCCAGGTTTCGTTTTGTTGCGCTTGCACTTTGTCTAAACGTATTGAACCACATAACAACTAATTTCCGGTCCGGTACAGGGGCCAACGGGGCTAAATTAAACTGATTCTGAAAGGCGCACTGGGCTGCGATCACTGAACATCCACTCGAAAATGGCATCGTTCCTCAATGGCAAACGCTTGCTGTTTACTGTCCCAACGCATAACGGCGACTAAACTGTGCAAAGACAAAACATTATAGCTTCACCTCTCGAACGAGACTGCTAGCTCTTCGCTATGACATGAACAGACAAAATGGTGCACATTTAAAAAAAGGAAGTTATGCTGCCCCACCATAAGGTAAGCTTTTTGAAGTACCCATCAGAAAATGATGCTATTAATGCTTACACTACAAGCTTTTAAAATTTACAGATGTATTGCCTTTAAATTCTCATGAAGAATGACATGGATGACGGTACAATTTTACATACAATCAGCAACAGAGACCTAATATCACTTGCTATATTAATTTAATTCTACTATCAATAGTACACTTTTGGTATGATATAACTGCAATGAAAACATTCATTTCTGATATACCGTTTCCGGCAGTATTAATTTAAATTTATGTTTTAAAGTACTTTCTTGGCATCTTTTTTTTTAATAAAGATAAAACGAGTAATTTGTGAACTGATATTTAAAACCGTTTTACAAAAAATGTATATTATTTGAATCATTGAGTATTTTGAATTTTCTACATTATGTGTATAAGTTACACTGCATTTCTTCTATTGAGAAGAAAAGGACAGTGTTCACTCGCTGTATCTTCTCCTTCTATGATTGGTTCCGCCTTCTGCACTGTGATTGATCAATCACCGTGTCTCGGTCTTCTTCAACTGTTTCTCGCAAACCTTATACAATTTGAAATGACAGCTTATACTCAGTGGTATGTGCAACTTATATTTAGATTGTTAGGGTTTTGACTTTAATAACCAAGGATTCGCTATAATCATTTAAATAAATTAACTTTTATTCAGAAACCCTTAAACATAGTTAGAACGTAAATCTACAATCTTTTGACTTTAATAACCAAGGATTCGCTATAATCATTTAAATAAATTAACTTTTATTTAGAAACCCTTAAACATAGTTAGAACGTAAATCTACAATCTTCAGTCAAGTACAAGTATCAATTTTACCTCTAGTGGTCTCGCGTTTTCAACATATAATTTGGCACTTCTTCTGATCTGGGATCATTTATATATTTGTAAATATATCTCAAAATTCAAAATTGTTTATTAGCCTTTAAATTAGTTATTCTATTAATACACCCTACCTGGAACATGGACTGAAATTCTGTCCTCTTGTATATATTAAAGATAGAGAGTTTTCAGGTCGTATAGTATGTACTATCATTGGTTTTCAATGTAGTATTTTTTTTCTTCTTTTGGGGTCCCCTTTAGGCAAAGAATTGCCATCAGATTCTATTAGTCAGGTTGGGTAGCAGGAAAATATTTCAGTTCTGGCAGACAGGCTGCAATTTTAGGTGGTTATAGTATACAAGTTTCTGAACCTAAAACCGCCCAGACCCCAATTTTTAAGGACCTCGGTCGTCCGTAATGACGTCATCAAAATGGCGGCCGTAAGAGGATGCTGGGTCCCCATGAATTGGCTATAACGACCGAATGCCTGAACCGATTTTCATGAAATTTGGCACACAAGTGCTTGAATACATTATGTCGGCCTGGGTTGAAAATGGTCAAGTTTCATCAAGTCATTTCAAAATGGCGGTCATTCAAAACTAAAAAATTATGAGGAAAATAATTGTGAATTGTTTTATACAGGGTGAGTTTTAAATGAGTTCCTCCCTACTTTTTTATACTTTTCTTAAGATATCAACTCCGAACCACGTCAGATAATTGTAGAGTAGCGATTACTTCATTTCGACTAGTTTTTATTGTATCTGTTTTTTGTTATCAAGCTTTCTTGATAAAATATAACAATTATTTTTATTTAAAATGTCAATATTTCAAAAACCAAACATGACAATGAAAAACGGATTGTGGCATTGAATTCAACATAAAAAAGTAGTTCAAAATGATGGGTCACAACACCACCTTCATATTTAAAATAATTTATCACATTTCAAAATGGCGGATCCAAGATGGCGGCTGAAAAAAATACATCAGTCATAATTGAGTTAAAATAGGTCAACAATGAATGGTGGTGTCCACTTATCTTTATCTAGCACTATTTTGAGATTATGGCCTTAGTTTGTAAATGCACAATGTTATAATGGACTAAAAATAAAGTTATATAATGTTCTCATAACTTTAGAATGGATCAACATTTTTACTTTCTCCCCCTATACCATAGTATGTGGAGAAAGTATTGTTTTCGTCAAAATTTTCGAGTTTGAGTTTTGAGTGGATATATTCGTTTTGAGTCCCCCTGGACCCAAAAAAGTGGTTTTCGAAGTGATGTCTGTGTGTGTGTGTGTGTGTGTGTGTGTGTGTGTGTGTGTGTGTCTGTGTGTCTGGATGTGTACAGAGCTAGAGACCACACCTGTGGTCCGATTTCGATGAAATTTGGTATGTAGGTTCTAATCCATGGTATCTCCAGGCGTTTTTTCATTTTTTTGAAATTTTGATTTTTTATGGGTATTTTCCATAAAAACCCATAAAAAACAGGAAAAATCGGATTTTCTCGAAAATGGCCCGAACGATTTTGATAACAATTTAGTATGTTGTAGCCCTTTAAATTCTAAATAAAATGGTACAAATCCCATATCTGTAAAAATTACGGTTCAAAAGTTATGGTCAAATATGTTATTTTCCCATAAAAACACCATAAAAAACGAAAAATAGGATTTTAGAAAAAAATCCGGTTTTCATTTAACATAGTATGTTATATTCCTTATAGTTTTGATAGTTTTTTTTACATTTTTTATACATTTTTATTTTTAATGGGGATTTTCCCATAAAACCCCATAAAATAACGGAAAAATAGGATTTTCCCAAAAATGGCCCGAACGATTTTGATAAAAAATTAGTATGTTATAGTCCTTTACATTCTGAACAAAATGGTACAAATCCCATTTCTGTAAAAAATACGGTTCAAAAGTTATTGTAAATTATGTCATTTTCCCATAAAACCCCCATCAAATAACAGAAAAATCGGATTTTCCCAAAAATGGCCCGGACGAATTTGATAAAAATTTAGCAT